GGCCATGGGAGGGTTTTTATTCCTTGCAGATTCCTTCCCCACTATCCCTCCTGTCAGAGCTGAAGAAGCTTCTTGGACAAGAAGCAAAACCTCTTCAAAAGAAAAAATCAAGAAAGTCAAGTTACTTCCTAAAAAAAAGTGCCTTTGGGTCAAGATGGCTGGCTGTGACCATAATACGTGTAAAATATGGGTGGTGCTTTATGTGGGTGGTCTCAGCCATGGCTTTTTTTGATACCCCTTGCTCCCACCAGTTGGGCCAAGGGCCAAGTCAGTAAGCCCTCAAGGCTCACCAGGGCAGAGGCCCTGATGGAAACCTCTGGGTGGCCCTTGGCACCCATAGTTGTTCTGAGGAGAATGAAGAAGAAACAGAGAAGGAGTTTTAGGCGGGAGGAAGAGACATAAGAAGGCCGAGAAGGAAGGAACCGTGAAGGCAACTCAGGCGGGTTTCCCTCAATCCCAACCCTTATTCATTCCACCTACGATCTCAGCCTGGTGTTGTCAGCCTTATGCAGGCCTGGCTTTGTTTCCGCTGCTTTGATACAGGGAGTGAAATATAGTTTTTCCACCACCGTAGGAAAAACAAGAGCCCAGGAGCTCCATTCAAGAGAAATTAACACTCTTAATAATGGCTGCACATTTGGAAGGGAATGGCGTGAGCGAGAGCAAAGCCACAGGCAACGAGAGCAACCGGCTTATTCAAGGCAGACGCCGCTGGCAGGGAGGGCGGGGGAGGGGAGTCTGCATCATCCAACCTGTGGAGGAGGAGAGTTAATTTTGCCAAGGCCACCCTGGGCTTCTAGGCTCTCCTCCCCCCCTTGGACTCTGCCAAGCGTCCCAATATGACTGACCAGCCGAGGGGTTTAGGATAAAGGCTGGGTTCGCCTTCCCAATGTTGCTGGTGGGGTCGCGGCTGTGAGGTGCTTAGGAAATCTGGGCATGTGGCCAGAACCATATTCAGCCTGGAAAAGAGACAGCAAAGAGCTTTAGTGATGTGGTCCAAGACTGGCCCTCAGTAACAGAGGAATGGCTGGAGAGGGATGCTATCAGCAGGCATCTCCCAAAATGTCAGCAGAGGAGGAGGAGGAGGAGGAAAAGGAGGAGGTGGAGGAAGAGGAAGAAGAGAGGAGGAAAAGAGGAGGACGAGGAGGAGGAGGAGGAGGGAGAGAGGAGGAAGAAAGGAGGAGGAAGAGGAAGAAGAGAGGAGGGGAGGAGGGGAGGGGGAGGGGGAAGAAAAGAAGAAGAGGAAGAAGAGGGGAGGAGGAGGAGGAGAGGAGGAGGAGGAGGAGGAAAAGGTGGAAGAAGAGAGGAGGAGGGGTAGGGGAAGAAGAGAGGACAAGAAGGAAAAGAGGAGGAGGAGGAAGAAAAGAGGAGGAGAAGGAGGAGGAGGAGGAAGAGAGGAGGGGAGGAGGGGAGGGGGAGGAAGAAGAAGAGAGAAGGAGGAAAAGAAGAGGAAGAAGAGGAAGAAGAGGGGATTAGGAGGTGGAGGAAGAGGAAGAAGAGAGGAGGAAGAAAGGAGGAGGAGGAAGAGGAAGAAGAGAGGAGGGGAGGGGGAGGAAAAGAAGAGGAGGAAGAAGAGGAAGAAGAGGGGAGGGGGAGGAGGAAAAGGAGAGGGGTGGAGGAAGAGGAAGAAGAGAGGAGGAGGAGGAGGGGCTTCTGGGGGAGGACTGCAAACCCCTCGCCAAGGGAAGCACCAGCCGACCTCCTGGGCTTCTGCTGGAGCCTGGAGGAGCCTCCAATTGACTCAGCTTAATGGAATTTCACACTAGGCTGAACCCCGGTAGGTGCCTCCAACGCCACGTATTTCTCAGACATTAAAATGAATAAATTATGAGGTGGCTCTCTGTATGTGCCTGTGTGTTTAACGAATTATGTCCCCGTAAGTTATGCTCCCCACCCCCAGCTCAGCGGGAGAAGAAGGATGCTGCCAGCCCTCCAGGAAGCTCCTGAATGCCCAGCCGTTGTGGAGGGCTCTGGGGAAGAGGCAGGAAGCCCCCTCCGTCTCTTCTGCAAGCTGAGTCTTCGCTGAGTTCGGTTCAGCACTGGGTTCCTGCTAGGACAGGCAGAGCCTATGATATTTTCTTCCCCGCTATTTTCAACAAAAGATGCAGGAACAGCGTCTTTTGGCTGTGATAGGGAAGGTCCAAGTCAGGTTTTTTTAAAGGTTTTCAGGTGCTGAGGATTGGTTGGGAAGCTAGCTTTCATTATCATCAAGATGCAGCTGGACTGAAAAAGAAGCCATGAATTTCCAGGGCCAGCGAAGCCTGCAAGGGTGAATAAACATCACTCAGGGAGCCTTCTCTCTACTTACATCTGCTCTCCTGGCACCCCTGGGTTTTTTTGTGGCCCGATATGCGTTAGCCCTGCCTGTTCCTTTTTCCTTGGACTCGGTGGCTGCTCTATGCTCATCAGTTCCCATGGGGCAGAGCAGGCGTTCTACCGGTATTCTAACCGGTTTGGCATGGTTCTGCTGTGCCGGTAGCGCCAACGAGCAGCAGAGATCGAACCAGTTCTCTCCGCCACTCTGCTGTTGGGCCCACCTGCCCACCTGGGCTCCCCTACTCACCTTTATGTCCTGCTTTTGAAGCGCAGTGGCTTCGTGTGGCACCGCAATTGCCGCGCAGCTGCTGCTGAAGCGTCAGGGAGAGTGCAGGAGTGCAGGAGGTGACTCAAAGCGTGTGTTTGGTGCGCGTGCAAAGTGTGTGCACGCATGCAAAGCGCACCCACCAAGGTGTGCCCACCGAATTGGTGGTAAAAATATTTGAAACACACCCCTGGGGCAGACCCTTGGAAGAATGGCAAGGGGGCATTTTCCTCCCATTGCTAAGAATTGACCACCTTCCCCATTGGGATTGGGAGCTGGAGTAGCAGTAAGAGGTAAAGGCCCCTTCCACCACTCCAGGGTCCTAGGTCACTCTCCCCACCCCCTCCCCCCCCCCCCCCGGCGTAAAAGTCTGTGCTGGCAACATCGAGGCCCGAAGTCTCCAAACTTGGCAACTTTAAGGCTTGTGGACTTCAACTCCCAGAATTCCTCAGCCAGCTGGCTGAGGAACTTAACAGATAATCAGAATTGGAAGGGACCTTGTAGGTCATCTAGTCCAACCCCCTGCTCAAGCAGGAGATCCTACACCATTTCTGACACATGGGAATCCAATCTCTTCTTGAAAGTCTCAAGTGACGTCTCAAATTCTGGGAGTTGAAGCCCACAAGTCTTAACGTTGCCAAGTTTGGGGGGCCCTGATCTAGGCAGACCTCCTTCCTTCTCTTTCTGTCCAGGGAATGAGAGGTCCTCAGGTGCAGCGGTGGGGAGCGAAGGGTCCATCATGTGGGGAGCATGAATCGGGGTGGGCGCTTGGTCTCCTGGCCCCCACAAGACTTTCCCCTCCGGATCCATCGCGGGGCCAAACCGGGTGCAGTTTCTCAGGGCTTCTAGTGCTGCCAAGGAAGACCCTGGACTGGCAGGGGCTCTTCTCCCTCGTCCACCTGAGACCCTGTGAACAACTCTTTTGGAGAAGTGTGTGTGTGTGTGTGTGTGTGTGTGTGTGTGTGTGTGTTTGTGTGTGTTGTTTGTGTTTCCCTCTTCAAGGAAACTCGGCTGGTGAGAAGGATTTTCCCAAGACCGCTTCATTACTGTGAAGCAAATAGCACAATTAGAGAAAAAAGGAGTTAGGTCTGGTGTCTTCATGGGGCCGTAGAGATTGTTTAGAAGTACAGGTTAGTCCTTGACTTACAACTGTTCATTTGGTGGCCATTCAAAGTTACAGTGGCACTGGAAAAAGTGACTTAGGACCATTTTTCACACTTACGACCATGGTAGCATCCCGGTGATCAAGTGGTCAAAATTCACTTGCTTGGTCGCTGGTTCATACTTAGGATCGTTGCTGATTCTCAAGGTGACGCGATTCCCTTTTGACGAGCAAAATCAACGGGGAAACCAGGTTCACTTCACAATCACGTTACCACCTTATGAACTGCACCGATTCACTTAACGACTGGGGCAAGAAGAAAGGTCATAAAGTGGGGCAAAATTCACTTAACAAATGTCTCACCCAACAACTGAAATGTTGGGCTCAATTGTGGTCGTAAGTCAAGGACTGCCTGTTGTGGACATTGACTGAGATGGGCGGCCATAGAAATCGAACAATTAAACAAACAACCCATCCAAAACCTCCAGGTGTTCCTACCATCACGAGTGCACGCTGGGTGTTGGAATGTACAGTGTGACTTCTTTGATTTGTCTTCATCTGCTTAGAATAGAGCTGGAAGGGACCCTGGAGGTCTTCTAGTCCAGCCTTCTGCTCAAGCAGGAGAGCTTATTCTATTTCAGATAAGTGGCTGTCTAGTTTCTTCTTAAAAACTTCCAATGATTCAGTGCCCACAATTTCTGGTGTCCAGCTGTTCCATTGGTTAATTGTCCTCGCTGTTAGGAAGTTTCTCCTTAATTGCAGGTTGCTTCTCTCTTTGATAAAGGGATGCGGTGGCTCAGTGGCTAAGACGCTGAGCTTGTCGATCAGAAAGGCCGGCAGTTCGGCAGTTCAAACCCCTAGTGCCCCGTAACGGAGTGAGTTCCCGTTACTTGTCCCGGCTTCTGCCAACCTAGCAGTTCAAAAGCATGTAAAAATGCAAGTAGAAAAATAGGGACTCCTTTGGTGGGAAGGGAACAGCATTCCTTGTGCCTTCGGCATTTAGTCATGCCGGCCACATGATCACTGAGATGTTTTCGGACAGTGCTGGCTCTTCAGCTTTTTAATGGAGATGAGCTGGAGCCGGAAATGACTAGCACGTATGCCTTTAACTTTAGCTCTCTCTTGGATTAGTTTCCAACCATTGTTCCTTGTCTTGTCCTTCTGGTGCTTTGGAGAATAATTTGACCCCCTCTTCTTTGTGGGAGCCCCTCAAATACTGGAATGCTGCTATCATGTCACCCCTAGTCCTTCTTTTCGCTAGACTAGCCAGATCCGATGCTTCCATTGCCTTCATTTCATTGCCTTTTCCTTTTCTAGAGAGCCAGAATTGGCCCAGGCTCAAAAGTTGCGGAAGAAAAGACACCCAACACCATTTCCAAATTTGACAACAACGGGAACCGTGACCGCATGAAGCTGTCTGACTTCAACTTCCTGATGGTGCTGGGAAAAGGCAGCTTCGGAAAGGTGTGTGCAACCATTCAGGTTCTCTTTCATTGTTGACTGGGATCCAGCCTTCTGCTAAGCCATAGTTTGCTTGAATGTGGTTTATCAAATACTCACAGCATGAGGCAGATTAACACACCAAGGCAGTGTTTCTTAACCTTGGTTCCTTGAAGTCCACACGTCTTCAGGTGGCCATATTTGAGAAACACTACACTAAGCCAAAACAACAGAAACCATATTATGTCACAATTGTTGTTTTCAGTTGTTTTCAGAAAGTTGTTTTTCCAGTTGGGTTACAATTTGCACTCAGCTCTGTAGGATCGTGAGTGCCAGCTTGGCTCTCAATCGCAGAAATAATGTTCTAACTGGTGCTTCACAGTTTGGGTTCTGTTGGCCAGTTGAATATCAGCAGGCCTACGTCTTGAGATTGAAACGCCATGAATGGAAACTCGGGTGGAAGTTGGCTTGACTAGGAGTTTCCAGTAGGACACATGAACAAAGGCTGAATGGGCCTCAACAGAAGGCCAATAGCTATGCCATGGCAGTGGCTCTCCTGTCCCAGTGTCCCAAATCTTCAGGATAAATTTTCTAAGGGACAGTTAAGGGAAGTCCAGTAGGTATGTTTAACTTAAAGGCTCAGAGGAGACATGATAGCTCTCTTCTAGTACTTGAGGGACTGTCATGGAGAAGAAGGAAGACAAGCTATTCTCCAAAGCATCTGAGGGCAGGACAAGAAGTAATGGGTGGAAGATCATTAAAGAGAGGAGCAACCTAAAACTAAGGAGAAATTTCCTGACAGTAGAACAATTAATCAATGGAATGGCTTGTCTCCAGCAGTTGTGTGTGCTCCATCATTAGAGTCTCCAAGATGCTTTTTCAAAAGGCAGCTGGACTTCGTTTTGCTTTGGAGACGGTTTCGCTTCTTCAGTTCTGACAGAACGGTGGAGGTTGAAAGGATTTGTATTCATTGCAATCATCTGGTCAGTAGCACTCCTTCTGAGAGTCACTGAGGCCACTTTGAGGTTCATCGGTGCCCTCGGGGTCACCTGAGTTGTGCAAATGGGTGTGGAACCTCCTTCTGAAAGGACGGTATTGTAAACAGGAGATGGGTTGGGTTCCCCCTCTGTTGAGAAGGGCTGTTCAGTCTTCGTGTAGATGGCCCCTTTGACCCCTCTTTCATTGGAGGTTTTCAAGAAGAGATGGGACACCCATTTGTCTGGAATGATTATAGGCAGGGACTAGAAGACCTCCAAGATCTTTTCCAGCTCTCGATTCTATGATTGCAGAATCTGCAAACCTCCCAGGAGAAACGTTAAAAGATAGAAACATTTAGTCCATGTACACAAAGGTTCCTCTGCTCACTGAAAGAAGAACATGAAAGGCAGGGACTCACGGTTCGGTCTTCAGCCTGCTATGCTTCCTCAGAGAGGGAGAGATTGCCAAAAGATCACGGACTTCATTAATCAGAGCAAAGGTCTCTTTGGAAGACTGCTGTCTTGTCTCAACCATAACTGATGATCCAGGGAGATCCAGGAGTGAGGCAAAGTCCTGGACATCCCTACAGAATGGGCAGTTCATGTTTCATGATTGTGAACTGTCCATTTTGTAGGGCCGCCATGAGCTGCAGTGGCGCAGTGGTTAGAATGCAGTACTGCAAGCTACTTCTGCTGACTGCTGGCTGCCAGCAGTTTGGCAGTTCAAGTCTCACCGGCTCAAGGTTGACTCAACCTTCTGAGGTGGGTCAAATGAGGATCCAGATTGTTGGGGGCAATAAGCTGACTCTGTAAACTGCTTAGACGGGGCTGTAAAGCACCGTGAAGTGGTATATAAGTCTAAGGGCTAGTGCTATAGAGCTTATATATCATTTTTATTAGAGTTTTTTACAAGAAATAAAAAAAAATCATATGAAATAAATAAGTTAAGAAAAAGATGTTGAATAGTGCAAAAACACTTGGAAAGGTTAAAAAAAAGAAAAAAAATTCAACTTTCTTTACAGTAGTTACAAACAAGCCTCTTATCCTGCCTTCCTCTTTAAATTGTGTTACGCAGTTCCCTTCTTCCTATTTTCAACCCTTTTTATTCAGCAAATTCAGAAATCAACATTTCATTTCTCTTTTCATTTTCAGCAAGAAACCCATAAAGGGTTTCCAATTTTTATAAAAGTACTTAAGTGTTTTATCCCTGATCAAGCAACTCAGTTTGGCCATTTCTGCAAGTTCTGTCACCTTCAGAATCCACTCCGCCATTGTGGCTGCTTCAGTATTTCTTCAGTGTTGTGTATATAATTAAAAGAATAAGAGAGCTGGGAGGGACTTTGGATGTTTTCTAGTCCAACCAGCTTCTCAGGCAGGAAAACCTAACATTTCAGACAAATGATTGTCCAATCTCTCCTTAAAAACCTGCAGGGATGGAACATCTGCAGGCTAGTTTTTCAAACTGGTTAATTGTTCTCACCATTGGGAAATTTCTCCTTAATTCCAGGTTGCTTCTCTCCTTGATTAGTTTCTATCTGTTGTTTCTTGTTCTGCATTGGAGAATAGTTTGACCCCCAACTCTTCTTTGTGGCAGCCCCTCAAATATTGGAACACTCCTGTCATGTCCCCACTCGTCCTTCTTTTCACTAGACTAGAAATACCCAATTCCTGTAATCGTTCTTTATAAATTATTGATGATATATTATTAATTATATTAATTATCTTGCTGCAATCACATATACAAAAACAATCTTCGTGAGACTTTTACAATTGGTTATCCATAAAATTCAGCAAAAAAAACCCCTGGGTTCATCTAAATATTGACCTTACTTTTTTTGTTATCGTAATTTATATTTGTCTGCAATATGTTTTTGCTTTTTTACAAGTCCACCATGCATAGTAAAACGACCTTTCATGTTTTCACATTACCACCATTAACTAGAAGTACTATTATACACACCTTAGGTAATTTCTCTGATGTCATATAACAATGGTGCATCATTTTATTAAAAAATTCTCTTATAATACAATGTGAATTTCAATCCTTTCACCACATTCTCTCCCTCGATTCGTATATTATAATCAAAATTCTTACCCATTTTATCTTGCACTCTTTAAGTTGTTCTTTTTCTGTTTCAAGTCTCAACAAATACTTTTTAGCAATCACAGGTTCATCATTTGTGCATAGTTCAATCTCGAATTCTCTCTTAACGTTATTCAATTTTTATTATTTTTTTTTTATCTATATTAAATCTTTCTCTTGACTGTGTCTGAAAACCATTGAAACCTAAATCTCTCTGCAGTCAATTGTTCTCTTGACTTCCTTAAGTTTTCCATATTCCCACACTAAGAAATCTTGATATTCTCTTTGCCAGCTATTTCTTTTCTATAAAATGCTTCTTGAGCTGCGAGCAACCTGGCTTTTCCAGCCTCTTCTCAATTCGTGGCATAAGTGCCACTGCTGACTGCAAAAGGGAGCACCAAGCTCTCTGAGGCAATGCCCGTTCTGGTACTACTTCACGCCCAATCTGGCCATAGGTTTTTGCAAGATTAAAACGTCGAGGTTTTCCCAGCTGATGTGAAGGAGCAGCCTTTTTCTGGACAGGAAACGAAACACTGGGCCTGTTTAGTGTATTAACAGGTTTCAAAATTAATGAAGACAAAGATGGTAACAAAAATATGCACATGGAAGATCAAACAGAATGGATGAATAAAATGGGTTTTTAAAATTGAGAAGGAGAAGAAGGACAAGCTTTGGGGAAGAGAAGGCTGGCTGACCCCTTCCTGAACTTTGTGCTGGGGCCTCAGGCCTGGGGAGGGGGCTGTGCAGGCTCTGCAAAGGGAAGGGGTCTGCCTCTGCTCTGAAGGAGTGTGTGTGTGGGGGGGTGGGGGAGAGCCAGGCTTGGAGTGGGCTTGAAGCAACCATCTCTCGGGCCCCAGTCCTGCCTTCTCGGATGAGTCATTTCTCCGCCGATGCCAAGCCACGTCTTTTGGAGGAGAAGGTTTGGCTGGCAGCCTGTGTGATCCCGGGCACGTCTCTGCACAAGGCCTGCCTATTAAAAGATGTACAGCGGTGGCAAAGCCCTCCCATATCTATTTAATATTGCACACCCGGAAATTACAGCTTTGCACTCCATCATGGCAGCATCTCCACGCTGCAGGTGGCTGGGGCGGGGATGGCCCTGCCTGCTGACAAGAGAGGCATTAGAGACTGTCCTGGCTTTGTGTGTGTGTGTGGGGGGGGGGGGCGCAAGGGACAGGCAACCGGGGGGGGGGGGGGATAAGCGGCAGGGGGGGGGGCGGGGGGAAGCATCAGAAGAGGGTTTGGTAACTGGTGCCTGACCTCCAGGGACGGCTTTTAGTTTCTGAAGTCTAGTCAATTTAAATTTTTCTGTTTTACACTCCAGAGATTGCTTTCTGGCGCATCCCATTTGCTGTGGTACAACAGCATGCTGTGTGTGAGCCTCGCCTGCCAGTTTAATTTTCAGGATTTGCTAGGTCACAATTGAATAAGGATTTACATTATTTGCCTCATTTCCAATTTGACTACGCACCATTGATAGACGAAACTGTTTTTCTTTGGTTTGTTATATTGATGTAGGAGCTGATCTGTGACAAGGATTTTTGCGACTCTGGGGGAGAATAGGATGATATAAGATTGGGTGTCACAGCTAGCTAAAGCTCTCAGAGACGGAAATAACAGCTTGAAGCAATCTTGAGATATACAGAAAAGAATGAAATTCAATAGAGGCTCAGGAAACTCAGGAAACAAAAGTTCAACGCACAGATGTAAGATTCCTCACTTAGTCAGAGTAGTTGATTGTGTTCAGTGCTGCTATGATTAACATTAATAAAGCTCTAATAATTGTCTTGTTTGCAAGCCAAGCTCTATTTAGAACAGAATCCAAGGGAGCTGTAGCCATGTACCTTAGGGCAAGCCTCTCCAACCTTGGCAACTTTAAGCCTGGGGGACTTCCACTCCCAGAATTCCCCAGCCAGGCGTAAAGTTGCCAAGGTTGGAGAACGGTGCTTTGGGGAGGCTGCCCTTCCCAACTCAGAGTTAATTTAAGAACTGACAGCCCTAGGAAGCCGGTTCTGGCCACAGTAAAGCCAGCCCCATAGACTGGCTCAGCCCTCTGGCATCCTAGCACCACGATGGACACATCCGAGTTCTCTGCAGGAACACAGTTGTGCATTCCTCTGCCCAAGAGAGGGGGATTCGAGGAAGAGGTTCAGGCGCGCTGCTTTTAATTGCAACTTAAGAGCTTAAATAGCTATTAAAGGATGAAGCTCAGCCATTGCTAGAATCTAGGAATATATGGCCATTCTTGGGAATGGAACTTCTGTTGCTAAATGAGGCAGTGAGTCACACTTGAATTTCTGACCTTTTTTTTTTTTTTTGCTGTGGGTGTTAAATGAATCATTCAGTCATTAAGCAAATCTGGCTTTCCCTATTGATTTTGGAAGCCACCGGGATAGGTGATCACAAGACTATGGGAAAGTGCAACTGTCATAAATAGCAACAGCACTTATATATCACTTTATAGCAATAACAGACTTATATACCACTTCACTGTGCTTTTACAGCCTTCTCTAAGCCATTTACAGAGTCAGCCTCTTGCCCGCAACAATCTGGGTCCTCATTTGACCCACCTCGGAAGGAAGAAAGGCTGAGTCAATCTTGAGCCGGTCAGGATTGAACTACTTGCAGTCAGCAGAATTAGCCTGCAATACCGCATTCTAACCACTGTGCCATCACAGCTGATGGATGGATGGATGGATGGATGGATGGGTGGATGGATGGGTGGATGGATGGATGGATGGATGGAGAGAGAGAGAGAGAGAGAGAGAGAGAGAGAGAGAGAGAGAGACTTATATACAGCTTTATAGTACTTCACAGCCCTCTCTAAGTGGTTTACAGAGTCAGCCTCTTGTCCCCAACCATCTAGGTCCTCCTTTTACCCACCTCGGAAGGAGGGAAGGCTGAATCAACCTTGAGCCTGGTGAGATTCGATCTGCTAAATTGCAGGCAGCCGGCAGGCAGCAGAAGTAGCCTGCAGTACTGCACTCTAACAGTACAGCGCCACCACGGCTCTGCCTTTTGCCAAGCTGAATTTTGATCACATGACTACGGGGATGCTGCAATGGTCATAAGCCCGAGGACTAGACCTAAGTTGCTCTTTTCAGTACTGTTGTAACTTCAAATGATTGCTAAATGATTGCTAAACCAACGAACCGAAGCCTGCCTGTAGGTCAGGTCCCAGGTTTAGGCTCTGCCTCTTTTTCTTCCATCCTGATGGGGTAATAGAGCTCTTGCTTCCCGCCTGGCTGCTCTGTGTGTGGAAGGCAGCTGGAGGGCATTTTGCCTTGCTCCTCCGAGGGCATTTCCCAGCTTGCACCTGTCAGGGGAGTCCGAGGGCCAGGTGGGAGAGCTGAGAGGAGACCCGAAGGCCTCCTGAGGAGCCTCACCAGGTCCCAGAGCTTCCCTGGTGGGGATTCTCTGCATGCCAGAATAATTCGTTTCCAGAGAGGGTGTCGATTCTATTGGAACGAGACGTGAGCTGGGGTGGTCTGGCACTGCTTCCTTCCAAAGCAATTGTCCCAGCAAATTGAAGCTGTGTGTCTTCATAATTGGCAGGGTGATGGTGGCCCTCTTTCAGGAGGCTTCCTTTGCCTTTGATAGGATTCACACTGGAAAATGATCCTGGCAGGAAGCGCTGCAGTTTTGGGTCTATTATAATAAATCTCCAAGCCGTGGCAACTGGCTTGAAGTGGCCAGAGAAGCCCTGGGAGGAGAGCCACGGGCTGGCTTGCCCTGCTGAGCGGCCCCCTCTGCTTGCCAAGCATGTGCCTTGGCCTCTGTCCTGCACCTGCAGCTGGATTGCAGCTTCCTTCGCCTTGACCTGGGCTGGTCTGCTGGGCAAAAGGCGGGCTCCTTTCTTGGAATGGCCAGTGGTGTTTTCTTCCTCCAAGACTGCCCCAGGCGGGCAGAAAGAAGCAAGTTTGGACAAGGGGGAGACTGCTAAACTCTTTTCTTTCTCCAGTCCCAGTTCAAAAGGCCCATTATTGGACAGGGAGAGGAAAGGGTCTGGAATCAGCTCAGTTTTCTGAGCACCAGTTTGAGGCAAGGGAGTGCTGCTGGGGGTACGCATGGGTGCGGGAGAGCTCCTAGCTGAGATTCTGTGCCATTTGGAGAACCCCCCAAATCCCACCCCTGGCTGGCCCCGCCCCGCCCACCCCATCCCTCCCTTCCCAGAAGTCCCCATGCAGCCCGTTTTGGATGCAGGCAAGTGCAGGGCGCACGCGGAGGCTCAGGCAGGGCAAAAAACAGGCCTCCTGGAAGTCCGGGAAGGGTGGAAATGGGCCCGTTTCTGGCTTCCAGAGAGCCTCCGGAGCCCAGGGAGGCCGCTTCTGTCCTCCCGGAGGCTCAAGGAAAGCCTCAGGAGCTGGGGAGGGCAAAAATGCCCCTCCGCCAGGGTGCAGCGACTAGGCCACGCCCACCATGGCCACGCCCAACCAGGCAGAGAACCTGTTGCCAAAAGTTTTGAAGGCCACCCTTGGTTTGAGGGTGCGTCTTGTTCTACCCTGGATCTGGTCACTCAAGACGTTGTAACCTTCACCAGTGTTCAGGATGAAAAACACTCTGGGAGATTTCAATTCCCCAAAGCAAAACTTTATTGGATACACCACATTGGTACTGAAGAAACAAGACCAGCTCTGAATTCTAGCGTAATGGCTTGCCCTGTTAAACAATACTTTCTCCTTCTCCCCCCCTCCCCCCGGGGTGATCCCATCGCCCAATTATGAGACGTCCTCTTGTTATGGGAACAGCCCCTCTCTTTGTCCAGCACCTGCAGCGGTGACCTTGATGGTTTCCAGGCTCTCACAATCTCCGCATACATTCTCCGCGCTCCATTTCCCCTTCCCTCCCCCCAGTTCACGGGCATGTTGAAAAGTATTAGGGTTTGAAAGAAGCAAAGTGATTCCATTTTTGTCTAGGCCCCGACCCCACATCCGACTCATTTCTTGGGCTTGGCCAAGAGTCCAAGATGTCTTGATTGGCAGCTCTTCTCTCTTTCGATTGTCTTCATCCCTTAGTCTGGAAAACTCTGTTTCCAGCCCAAGGAAAGGAGGGAGGCAGAGGGAAGGAGGCCTGCCTGCTCCTTAATTCATGTCACACCTGCCCTGACTTCAGGGGTGGGATTCTACCAGTTCGGACCAGTTGTATAGAACCGGTTGCTACGATTCCGTGCAGTTCGGAGAACCGGCAAATCATGCTGCCTCTCCCCTCCCCTCCTGTCGGATTTCTGCTTTCTAGCTAATCTAGATCGCTGTTGTACGGCTTTGCCTTCGCCCAAGAGGCTTCCCTGAGGTCCAGCCAGGGGTGTTATTCAGGGGGTTGGGGGAGAAGTGGCCTGAGAGTAGAGCTGAACCTTCCTTAGGACTGAAGCTTCTATTTTTCAGTGCAGACTCAGACAGCAGATTGCAGAAAGGTAGATCTGTGAATGAATCTGTGATTCTGCAAGCAATTCTGCTTTGCCTAATTTTGGGTAAAAGTTTCTCTCTCTCTCTCTCTCTCTCTCTCTCTCTCCACCAAGCCACCCCCAGTCAGCAAGCCACCCCCACCCAGTCACATGCCCACCAAGCCACACCCACAAATTAGGCCACGCCCACAGAACCGGTTGTTAAGATATTTGAATCCCACCCCTGCCTGACTTGTATTCTTAGGAAAGAAAGATCCTCGACTCCATTTGTGCAAAAGGTAGACCTTTATAAAGACCAAGTGGTGACAGTACAGCAAGGCCAGAATTAAAAGTTTGCCCACAAAGGTTCCCTAGTTAACTTTCCCTTTCCTATTCCTCCCCACCGCCTGTTATCTCCCTGTTGTCTGGTTACATTCAAAGCATTTGTTCTGGTAACAGTCCCTGCTAGATTGGCAGGCGGTTGCATTTTTCCTTCCAGGCCTCCTCTGGCCTTGGGACGATGAGCCAATGTCTCAGGACAGCACGACGAGTAGTTTCGGCTCCCCCCTCTTCCCAGCAGTTCCCTCCCCGCATAGTTTGTGACAGGCTGGCGTCTAGCACAACAAGGCTGAAGCTCAGGATGGCAGCTCTACAATTCTTGGGCATACCACTGTACGCTCTCAGAAGTGGCTGGCTGGTCTTTGGTCAGTTTGTGAAGGCAGTCCGAAGTTCTGACCTAATGGGCTCAGGTAACTGACTAGGGCTAAATATTGGGCACCAGATCAACCCAAGAGATCGTTCAGATCATCCCAAAATTCCATGACACAGTATGGAACATAGGTAGGCAGAATAACCCTATCTCGTCTCTTTCTACATCTGAAGCTATTACTATTTCCAAGCAGGGAGGATTGGAGTTAAGGAATTAGGACAAACGGAAGAACAAAATATTAATCTACTAGACGACGCACATGTCAACGGTAGTTTGAAGCCCAGAAGCTCTCTGCGGTTCATTATTTACTTACTCAATTTATAAAGCTGCCTACTCATGAGTGACTCTGAGCATCTAACAGGGTTAGAAATGTCGCTGTGTCACTGTGTAAAAGCAACAGTGAAAGGATCAAACACACAGCATGTCAGGAACAAAGCACCATCTGTTTATGTATCTGTCATCCTGGGGGAAGAATCAACTCTTGAACCCAACAGCCTCCTTGGACCCAACAGGGTCACAGCCAGTGGATCTCGAAAGGAGGATTTTAGGCAGGCCTTGTGTCAGAGAAGTTGTGCTTTCTGGCGGGGGGTGTGTGTGTGTTCAAATTTCTTAACAACTGGTTCTATAGGCGTGGCCTAATTTGTGGGTATGGCATGGTGGTCATGTGACTAGGGTGGGAGTGACTTGCTGACTGAGCGTGGCTAGATGGTCATGGGACTGGCAAACCAGTGGTCCTCGCTTAATGACCAAGTCCTCGTTTAATGGCCAGTTGCTTAGCAAGTGTTTTTTTGCCAGTTTCCAAGGCCTGGGGAACCCCTGGAGATAGTTGCGGGAGGCTCGGGGAGGCCTGGGGATGGTGGGGGAAGGGCTAGCATGACTCACAGGCTAACCTGGGAGCAGGCAGAGTAGTGAAGAGGCTCGTGTTGCAGCGAAAGGCAGGCAGCAATGGCTGCCCTGGTGGGCGGGCATGTCGTGCACGCGCACGATGTTGCACATGCGCAATAACAAAAAGTGATTCCGGGAGTGGAGGAGTGGGCAGAGAGGGGCGTGGCCAGCCAGGGGTCTGTTTTACCGGTTCTCCAAACTACTGGGAACCGTAACAACTGGTTCTATAGAACCAGTCTGATCCGATAGAATCCCACCCCTGCCTTCTGGGTCCCGTAGGCTGACTAGTTGATAGGACCCAATACCAGAGGTGGTATCCAACAGGTTCTGATCAGTTCTGGAGAACCGGTAGTGGAAATTTGGAGTAGTTCAAAGAACCGGCCAATCCCACTTCTGATTGGCCCCACCAACCCCATCTATCTTCTGCCTCCCAAGTCCCAGCTGATTGGCAGGGTTTCTTTGGTTGTCCTGCACAGGAGAACAGAGCTGGAAAGCAGGTTAATGGGGTGGGGAGGGAATGGGGATTTTTCAGTGTCCTTCCCCTGCCACATGCACCAAGCAACACCACATCCACCAAGGCATGCCCGCAGAAACGGTAGTAAAAATCTTCGAATCCCACCACTGCCCAAAACTCATCAAATTTGCAGTCAACACTAAGCTGGCAGGAATAGCCAACGCCCCAGAAGTTGGATCTCAACAGACTGGAATACCGGACCCTACCTTATGCAAATGAAATTCATCATAGAGAAAAGTAAGGTTGTACACTTAGGAAAGAAAAATGTTTTTGTACAGGTACAGACTGGGTGGAACTTGGCTCAATACCAGTAACCGTGAGAGGAATCTTGGAGTCCTAGTGGAGAATCACTTCAATATGAGCCAACAGTGTATGGCAGCAGCCCCAAAAGCCAATGCAATCCTAGGTTTCATAAACAGAGGGATAGGATCACTTGAAATGTTAGTATCTCTTTACCATGCCTTAGTTAGACCACATCTGGAATACGGCATCCAGTTTTGGTCACCACAATGTAAAAAGGAGGATGAGACTTTGGGGAAAGTGCAAAGAAGAGCTGCTAGGATGATTAAAGGTCTGGAGTCTAAAACATATGAAGAACAGTTACGGGAATTGGGAATGTCTAGTGAAAAGAAGGACTAGGGGAGACATGATAGAAGTATCCCAATATTTGGTGGGCTGCCACAAAAAAAAGGGGGGGTCAACCAATTTTCCAAAGCACCAGAAGGCAAGATAAGAAAAATCAGATGGAAACTAACCAAGGAGAGAAGCAACCTAGAACTAAGGAGAATTTTCTTGACGGAATAATTAATCAATAGAATGGCTTGCCTTCAGAAGTTGTGGGTCACTGGAGGCTTTTAAGAAGAGACTGGACAGCCGTTTGTCTGTAATGATAGAAGATCTCCTGCTTGAGCAGGGGGTTGGACTAGAAGACCTCCAAGATCCCTTCCAACTCTGTCATTCTATGTTCTCACCCTGCTGGATCTTGTAGGACAGGCAGAGACAATTCAAGTAGCCACATGCGTTTGCAACAATGGCTACTTTAATGTAGAAGACAAGGGTGCTGTGTTTGCCGTCGCATGAGCCTTCGAGGCCTCGTGAATGGTTTATGAAGCATGTCTATGGATCTCCATGCAGCCTCTGGGCCACAAAACACCTTCTTATCAAGCTGCATCTTCAAGAGGAAACCCAGGTTGGGATTCCCAATAAGATGTGGATATTTGCTCCATAGGGCATCCGCACTCTCTCTCTCTCTCTCTCTCTCTCTTCCTTCCTCCTCCCCCTCTGCAGAATGATGGTAGTATCATGCATTTAACAACAGCAAAGAGCTGAGACTGAATGAGGGTAGATATACTGCAAGGAAGGATAGGATAGGCAACGGGTCGGGAGGCTGAATTGTGCCCTGGTTGTGGGGCCCAGTTCAGCCTCCTGACCAATTGCTGGACTGTACAGCCCTCTGAATGGCAATAGCCGTTAGACTTCTATACCACTTCACAGTGCTTTTACAGGCCTCTCTAAACAGTTTACAGAGTCAGCCTCTGGCCCCCAACAATCTGGGTCCTCATTTTACCCACCTCGGAAGGACGGAAGGCTGAGTCAACCTGGAGCCTGGTGAGATTCGAACTGCTGGCTGTGGGCAGAGTCAGTCTGCAATACTGCATTCTAATCACTGCACCAACATGGCTTCCGTCCTTTTTCTTACCTTCCTTCCTTCCTCCCTCCTTCCTTAGCGAAAACAGACTTATATACCACTTCACTGTGCTTTTACAACCCTCTCTAAGTGGTTTACAGAGTCTGCCTCTTTCCCCACAACAATCTGGGTCCTCGTTTTACCCACCTCGGGGTCAACCTTAAGCCGGTCAGGATTGAACTGCCGAACTGCTGGCAGCCAGAAGTCAGCAGAAGGAGCCTGCAGCCCTGCATTGTAACCACTGCTCCACCATGACTCTTAATGGGAATGGTGCTGGAAGGGCTGAAGGGCTTCATCCTTTTTTCACTTGTTTGGGAGGAATTAAGAGTCAAAATGGAGACTTTTGCTCATGGTGACCTCTTGTTTGCTTTCCCATCCTTTGCTAAACCTCTAAAGCAAGTGAAAATTGTCCTGCCAAAATGGGCCATTTTGCCATCTAATTTCAGGAGTATGGCATGCGGTGGCTCAGTGGCTAAGGCGCTGAGCTGGTCAGTCAGAAAGGTTGGCAGTTTGGCGGTTCAAATCCCTAGCGCCATGTGACGGAGTGAGCCCCCATTCCTTGTCCCAGATTCTGCCAACCTAGCAGTTCAAAAGCATGTGAAAATGCAAGTAGAAAAATAGGGAGCCCTTTGGTGGGAAGGGAACAGCGTTCCGTGAACCTTCAACATTTAGTCCTGCTGGCCACATGACCACGGAGACGTCTTTGGACAGCGCTGGCTCTTCAGCTTTGAAACGGAGATGAACACTGCCCCCTAGAGCCAGAAACGACTGGCATGGATGTGGCAGGGGAACCTTTACCTTACCTTCAGGGATATGGGGGCCTCACCTGAGTTACAGTTGATCTGGGAGCACTTATTGGTTCATTAATAGGTAAAGGATCTGATCCCTGGCCTTCCTCAGTCAGGGGCCTCCTTGGGAGATCTCAGTTTAGCCATCCTTCTGAGAAAGTCCTCTCATGGGGTGGTTCTGAGGCAAAGGTGTGTGAAGAGCAGCAGATAAATAGAGCTTTAGATGATCTCCAAGGAACTTGCAGGACCTACACGGATTACCACTGCACCTGTATGCCAAAGCACTGCCATCCATGTCTCACATCAGGCCCATGGGCTTGGCCATGTGAAGAAGGGCTCTCCTCCATGCCAAAGGGAGCTAGATTAGGGCAGCCAAGTGAGGCTCCATTCATATGGAGGCTCAGAAAGTCCAGGCCAACATGAACTAAATGCCTAGAAACCAGAGCATGGCTTCTGCTGCCAGGATGAGTGAAGGGACAGCCATGGCATCTAAGCAAAGCAGAAGGGTAGATTGCTGCAATATCCCGATTGTCAGACCTGCCGCAACTTAGATCCTTTGGAAAGAAAGACTCTCGACTCCATTTCGTTGAAGTGATTGGATCTTTTACTGGAGACAAGTGGTTGCAGGAAAAGTAAGGCTGGATCTGTGTGTTCCTGCACGAAAGGTTACAATTTCCCCCTTTCCCTGACCCTCCCTACCCTTGACCAGTTCAACTGTATCCAACAGCATCCCAGTTTGATGTTTAGGGGACCGTTTTGAAGCTGGGTGCTTTTCAAAGTAGTTCACATTCCGTTACCAGGCCAGGTGTCCTTGGTGGCTGGTTTGTTCCAGTTTGACACCTCTGGTTCCTATTTCCCTCCCCACTTTAATTCTTCATCTTCTCACTAGCCCAAGCTTCCACAAATTCCTTCCCTCCCCATTGCCAACAAAACGAAGCAGCTGAAGACCTGACATTGATTCTTGGCAGATTCCTCTTTTAAAGTTTGCCCAGTGAAATATAATTAAGCTGAACCTCTTCCACATTTTGACCAGTTAGAGAGTCCTTAACTCGATTCCTCTGGCCCAGCACCAGAGAAATAAGGAGGAAGCCAAGTAGAACTTGATAAATTTCAGCAACTAATCCTGAATCACAAAGGTTAGCAATGGCAGCAAAGAAGATTTAATGAGAAATAGGGTTTGTTAAACTAATAGTTCCAGTTCTCTAAATCAGGAGTTCTTGAGCTGTCAATCAGGCTGCAAGGGTGTGTGCAAGTGTTTGAAATAAATATTCAGTGATTAAGAGTAAGTGCAATTGTTATTTATTACACAACCTTGACACAAGTTAAATCATTTGTTTTATTTGTGGGGAGAGGGTGTCGTATACTTTCATTTATCATTTGTGGGTTGTAGTATTTCAAGCTATTGCTCAAATTATAAAACACTGAAGAAAAGGGAACATGCACACACACACACACACACACACACACACCAAGAGAAGGCAATTGCTCATACAAAATGTAAAAAACAACACAATACAGCATTCCTATCACATTCATTGCTCTTTGAAAAAAGGTCTCCAGTCTTCTGGAGTGGGCAGCTATAATAAATGTAATAAATTATCATCATCCTCATTATAATTTCGGATCTCGGCACATGAGTCCACCACAGAGGATGGACAGATTGGAGAGAGGTCCCCTGAGCCTCCCGCTTGGATGTCATTGGGCAGGATTCAGGTTGTCTTCTTCTATTAGATTAATAGTCACAGGTTGTGCCACTGTGTAAAAAGGGTTATGTGGGAAAACCTGCATTCCATTTGTGGAGACTTCTCAGCATCAGGTCAGCTCAAAGGTGTTCTTGGGTAGGTCACAGGTCAAGGGATGAGTGTTTCTCTATGCCTATTGAAACCAGAAGTGTGGGGCCAGGGGAAGGGATGGGTTATTCTCCAAGATGTAATCTATACCTCTTTGCACTTGTTCTTGCTTGTTCACGAGTAACATTCATTCAGATTATGACTGCTGTCAAACCTGCTCAGCTTCCTCCTTGGGAAACGGAACGGGACAACTTGCTCTAGCCAAGTCGCTGCAGCCAACTCACCACAGACAACTCGCCACGGGACAAATTGCTGTGGGACAATTTAATAATTCTATTTAATTATTTAAAATAAAAAATATATTTTAACCTTTTGCTGTTCACATTTCATTTTGTCCTTTTTTAAACGATTCTATTCCACCGTTTCTTTGATATTAGTGTAACTCTTGTCCTGCAGCGAGTTGGCAGTGGCAGTTTGGGCGTGATGAATTGTCATAGACCCTTGGGGACTGACTAAACAGTGGGGTCCTGGGGCCTTGGACTTACGTGTATGAACAGGCAGAATCCTCATTTACACCTTATTTTGTCTGATTCCAGGTGATGCTTTCGGAAAGGAAAGGAACAGATGAACTTTATGCCGTAAAGATTCTGAAGAAGGACGTGGTCATCCAAGATGACGATGTGGAATGCACCATGGTGGAGAAGCGAGTGCTGGCCCTGGCTGGAAAGCCCCCCTTCCTCACACAGCTTCATTCTTGCTTCCAAACCATGGTAAGCTCCCCCACAGCCCTCCATCCTGCACCCTGCAAAAGTTCCCCAATTGAGTTCAGAATCTTGTCCCCTTGAGGGTGTTCCTCGTGCTGGAAATTTAACCTGGATGCTCAGAATTGCCTTGTGTAGGGTGTGAAGACCAAAGAAGACATTGGCAGAAACGGGAGTCACAGAAGCAAGAATGATAAGCCTTCTGGAGATTGGACAATGTGGGCTGTTCAGCAGCAGGAAGGTTGAGGATGGACACAGAAGAAGCAGCAAACATAAGGGAAGGACGGAAGGAAGACTGTCGGGAAAGAGAGAAAAGTAAAAGTACAGAGTAGGAGGTCCTGGTGAAGTGAGAAACCCATGGTAGAAAGAAAGGACATGTTTCCTGGCCAAAAGGAAGGGGATTAACCCTGCATAACTGGATGTGGTGGATAGTTTAAGACAACAGCAGGCAGGAAGGACGAATGAGCACATATAATCTTGGTTCACCATAGTGGACCAGTCAGGGACTCCCAATTCAGAAAAAAGAACAAGTGGGACACAAAGGATCCAAAAGTATAAGAAGGCCCCAGTTACCCAACAGTTCTGTGGAAGGGGTGGTGACCCCATCCATGACCAAAGGTGGAGAGCACCCACTCAGGATCCTAAAGCCCGCAGCAACTCTGCCTTGTTAGGCTGAGCTGAGTGCTTCTTCTCCACACCCAGAATTTCCAGACACAGAGAGAATCTGGATGGTCTCATTTACTCAGCCTAGGCTAAAGATGCATAAGTGGGTATTATTGGCATGGTCTTATCTGATGATGCGGCTCAGTGCCTTTACATAGGTGTTCAATCAGAGCCCAGAGAAAGTGGAGCTTTAGGCCATGGAGAAAGGAGGAGAAATAATATAAAGTAAGACTCCCACTCCTAAACTTCCAAGGGGGTCCATCATCAATGCACTGAAAGATAAAGAAAGACTAAGATGGATGCCCTACCTCCGCTCCAGTCTGAAGGTCATCTAAAAACGTGAGGAACACCATCTCAGTGATCTGAAGAGAGGTCCAAATAGTCCATTTCATCCCACATCCCCTGTAGCTGTAAGCCAGCCATCTTTTCTTCAACCTTCTCCAAGGAACCCAACTAGATCTGCCAAGAAAGAGAAACACACAGATGCAACTTGATCCAAAGCCAGGGGCATTCCCTCCTGCTGGGAGAAGGATCTCGGGCAAGCCATACATCAGAGCTCCAGAGATGGCTCTAAGATCCTGTCAAACTCATGGAATGACCTGACCATATCAAGAGATTGATGTTACCCAATCGCAGATCATATCCTCCCTGTCCCAAGATCCAAAAAGTCTAACGAGGGGCCGCTATGGTGTTGAGTTGGCCCCATAACCTTCTAGGCTAGAACATGGTGGCCATGAACTCTGGAGCCATCTTGGAATCTGTTTCCAGAGAAGTTGATTAAAGTTGTCCATTCCCTTTGTTTGAAGATCTTCAGCACCAGCCCAACAGCCCCAAGGAGCCTATGCAGGGAGGCCAGATTAACAGCCGCAGTCCTACTTGATCCCAACAACCTAATTTCACTGGCTGGCTAAGCCAGTGGGGGCAGGGGCCTCAAGGGATGGGGGCGGGGGGAAGGGATGGAGTGACCTGCAGATATGAATTCTGTTCTGCATTTCAGTTAGCCTCAATTACTTCCCGTCTTCTTTCCAATTCTCTATATATCATTGTTTTTCAACCCCAGCAACTCTCAGATGTGTGGACTTCCACAGATTGCTGGGGAATTCTGGGAATTGAAGTCCACACATCTTACAAGTTGCTGAGGTTGAGAAAGGCTGCTCTATATATGCCCAACATGAGTGCAAGGAAGTGACTCATCTGCCAACCTGCCTCACGGCGCCTTTTTCAAAGGACGTCAGCCAACAGGTATAAAACCACCACGATAAACTGGAGCAGGAGAAAGCAGAAAACTGGGATTCTTGGAGGCTGACACCTTCTCCGCAGAACATGGGCCGTGTTTTTGTCAAACGATTACAAAAGCAGGAGGCATCAGGGTGCAGTGACCTTGGGAGAAGCAGAGAGTCTGGATAGTGAGGGGTGGAAGCCTTCCCAATTTGGGCGGGAGAAGTGATTTAAGTTTGGAGGATCCTTTTCGCCCCCAAAGTGGCCAATGCTGCTACTGCAGTGCTGCGATTTAACACGCTGGATGTTGGCAGCAGGAAATGGTGGGGCTGCAAAGGGCACGAAGGACGAGCGTCCCCACCTCTGGCTCAGGGCAGCGAGCCGTTCTCCACACAGCAAAGGTCACCAGGTGCAACGCGCTTCCTCTCCGGCTGTTTCCAGCTGGCGGCTAATAAAAGCAGAGGGGCCGCGCTGAGAGCAGCCCTTCCTTGGCAGCAGCTCTTGGATGGCAACAGTGGAGGCTTAGAGGATTACCCAAGACATCAGCCCAGCCCTTGGAGTTGGCAAAGCCCACTGGCAGCTGCCAGAACTCTCCCATCTTGGTGATGAAAGGCCGCCGTGCTGAGATCTGCATCGCCTGGCCTCTTTCTGAAATCTGAAGTGTGTTGGCAGAGGATTAGAAGGTGCAAACCTGCCCGGCGCTTAGCACTAATCGGACCGGGGACATAACCGCAGGTTGTAGCAGAGGAACCTTCTCCCCATCTCAGCAGGGGGGGGTCTATGGGGGGGTGTATTGGGGGGAGAGGTTAACCAATTGGTTAATATTTCAATAGTTCAGGAGCCTGAGAGGCTGCCAGGTGATCCACAGATGCCAGGGGTCTGTGAGATGCCACCGGCTGAGTTTTTGGATGAGGCTCCTAAGCATTGAAGGCATCCGTGGGAGGGTGGAGTTAAGGTGACACCTGCAGCCACATGGCATCCGCTCCATGTGTACATACGTGTGATGTGCAGTTGGTGTAAGAAGGGGGTCAGAAGAACAAAATAATAGAGTTGGACGGGACCTTGGGGTCACAGCCCCTGCTCTAGCAGGAGACCCTAGACCAGGGGACTTCAACTTCGGAACTTGAAGACTTGTGGAGGCACATAGCTGACTGGGGAATTCTGGGAATTGGAGTCCACAAGTCTTAAACGTTCCCAAGGTTGGATACCCTTATTCTATGCCATCCCAGTCAAATGGCTGCCCAATCTTTTCTTCAAAACCTCCCGTGTTGGAGCTCCTGCCTCTTCCGAAGACAAGCCCTTCCACTGATTCGTTGTTCTGGCTGTCTGGGCCGGGCAGGGCTGGGTTTCGGGGGCATGGTTACGACTGCCACCTGGACTTTTTTGTCTCCGCCCTCAGGGGTAGATGCCCCTGCCTCCACCAGGCCCAAAGGCGCTGCCTCTCTTGCTTTGGAAGCAAGTTCCTACAGGACACAACCTTGGCCTGATCCCCTCCACGGTGGCTCTGAGCAAAGGAGCTCAGGGGAGCCAATTAAAAGACAACTCCAACCCCAAATCCACCCTTCCCGCTTTGCCGTGTCTCTCCTCTAATCTAGAAAGGTTCCCTTTAAGTCCTCATCTCCCTCCGCCCCCCCTCCTTCCCCTCTTCTCTCGTACCAGCTGTGCTTTCCTGCAATATGTCTAATCCCACAAAAGGAAGTCAAAGGGTTTTTTTTTTTTACTTTTTAATACCAAAAAGGCAACCAAATCCTTCCTTTCATCAGGATTTAAATTGTCTATTGCAGAGGCTGCCACAGAGTGATGGTGTCCTGGTGAGGACCTGTCCTCCCGACTTTTTCAGCTCAGCCGCACGGAATGGCATCCCACAGGACATGGGGACGCCTTCCTGCGGGCTGCAAAGTCAGGAAACAGGAGAGGCTGCAGGAGGAGGTCACCAGAGGCAAGGCGAGGGCCACAATCAAAGCTGTGCTTGCTTTTGACATGCGTGGCACATGCTCCCATCGCACCGCGGCAGCCGCGGCCTTGACTTTGAGGTCCGGGCCCCACAGAGCCATCCCAAGGGAGAAGAGAATGTTGCTTGCAGGGCACCCAAGAGGCTCGGCATGATGCTCTGGCTGGCTTCTTTGGACTCTGGTTCGGCCTCCTCCACCGTTATTTCTCCCTTTTGCTCTCAGGACCGCTTGTATTTTGTGATGGAGTACGTCAACGGTGGTGACCTCATGTACCAGATCCAACAGGTTGGGCGATTCAAGGAGCCCCACGCTGTGTAAGTCCCCACCGCCTCTCCAGGGCAGTGCCAGGGCAGAGGGGTTTGTGTGTGAGAGAGAGAGAGGATTTCTGTCATCTCCCTCTCCCCTGATGCCAAGGGCCTCCTGTTCCGGGGCTGAGGTGGCACCTCCTGGCCTCTCCATTAATCTCCTTTCTTGACTGGCAGGTTCTATGCAGCCGAGATCGCCGTGGGCCTTTTCTTCCTGCACTGCAAAGGGATCATTTATCGGTAGGTGGGCAGTTTTCCTCTCTATGACTTCCCAACCTTTGCCCTCACAGTCCCCGGGCTCTGCTGTGGCCCACACCCACTGCCAGCCAAAGCCTTCCTCCTCTGGGCAGCACCACTGGGGTTGTCTTGATCGGTGGAAGGGCTTGGAGGCACCCTTCCCTTGGCATCCCACTCTTCGGTGGCCTTGATGAGACACAAGCAGACCGATGAGCCAAAGAGCGGGGATTGGCAAGCCAGGGACTCTTGGGGCTCGTCTGCTCTGCTCCCTGTAGCCTGGCACCTGGGAAGCACCTGGAGCAGGGCTGGGCTGCTGGGGGTTCGCAGGGGTTCGGCAGAGCCCCTAGCTTAGATTCTGTGCAGTTCAGAGAACCCCCAAATACTACTCTTGGCTGGCCCCGCCCACCCCTCCCAGGAGTCCCCACGCAGCCCGTTTTGGATGCAGGTAAGTGCAAGGTGCACACGGAGGCTCGGCGAGGGTGAAAAACGCGCCTGCTAGAAGTTTGGGAAGGCCAGAAATGGGCCAGTTTCCGGCTTCGCTCGCTAGATAAGGCCTGCATCCAGGGCAGGGAAGGCTCAAAGGAACAGGACTGGGCCTTGGGCTTTTCCATAGTTCAGTTCAGTTCAGTTCAGTTCAGTTCAGTTCAGTTTACTTTATTGTCATTGCACATTGTACAATGAAGTTAAATACCATCTTCAGTGTACTCTGCAGTAGAATTCAACAGAGTTACTGCACTGGGATAGAAGCTTCAACAGAAGACCAAAAAAATTTATGGAAACGCATCTCTGACTGCCTATGATTCCCTACTTATTCTCCTGTTTCCACCATTTGCCTGCCACTCACCCCCTCAGGCATTATCAAACAATGAAGGTAGTCCTTGACTTATGACTACAATCAGAACGTCCATTGCTAGCGTGGTGATTGTTAAAGTGAGTCACATCTAATTTTACCACCTTTTTTTGCCACAGTTGCTAAGTGAATCCGGTAGTCCTTAAGTAAGTTTAGAGAAAAGTCGTGGACTTTTCTCGTCAGAATCCAGCTGTGGAGCTCGCAGATGTTGACCACATGGCCACCGGATACTGTGACCAACATAGATACGTGCCAGTTGCCAAGGCCCTGAATTTTGTTCAGGTGACCATGGGGATGCTTGATCCACTTAACAACGGTGGCAAAAAGGCAAAGGGAGTAATGGCAAAAAGGTCATAAAAACTGGCCACAACTCATTTAACAACTGCTTTGCAATGGAAATTCTGGTCCCAGTGGTCATAAGTCAAGGACTACCTATATTCGACTTCCAACTAAATATCACTCAATGGAATACATTTCTGAATAGAGCTGAAGCTTCATATTTCAGCTTCAAGGTCTGATCCCAGGGATGTCTTTCTCACCCTTCCTCTGTCTCTCATTCTCTCTTTTTCTTTTTTCTCTCTCTTTCACTCTCTTTCTCTCTCTCTTTTCTCTCTTTCTCTCTCTCTCTTTCTCTTTCCTCTCTCTTTCTCTTTCCTCTCTCTTTCTCTCTCCTCTCTCTCACTCTCACTCTTTTTCTCTTCTCTCGCTCTCTTTCTTCCCTCTCCCTCCCTCCCTCTCTCTTTGTCTCTCTCCAGAGACCTGAAACTTGACAACGTGATGCTGGACTCCGAGGGCCACATCAAAATTGCTGATTTTGGCATGTGCAAAGAGAATATCTGGGATGGAGTCACCACCAAGACTTTCTGTGGCACGCCTGACTACATTGCTCCTGAGGTGAGCCACAGGCATCTCCCTGTCTCTGCCTTACAAACTTTTGTTGCTACTTCTCAGCAAAGGCTCCAACTGGTGAGAGGTCCCAAATCTGCATAACGTGAAATGGAGGTTAGTTTTGGTAAAGAAAAGAAAAAAAATCACACGTCCAGCCTCGCAGAGTCTAGGACTCTGCCCACGGGGCAAGAACTGGCTTATGTGCCATTGCGTGTGTCAGATGTGTGAGTAAGCGGGAGGCAAGGAAATGGCCGAAGAAAGAGAGCGAGCGCTTTTGCCAACCAATTGCTGGGCAGAGAAGCTGATAGAAGCCGATGAGATTTGGTGAATTCAGTCCAGGCCTTTGAAGAGCCTCTTAGTGAAGCCCAAAGAACGCTGTGGTGTGGCATGGCTGTGCCTCAGACGGAGAGGTCGCTGCTGCTTATTTATTCAACCATAATGGAGGTGGATACACAATTCCTCAATGTTTGGCCTTCCAGGCTGTCTACTTGCTGTATGCATATGCACACTGCGTGCATGGGCCATGCTGTGATTAATTGGGATTAATTTTTTAGCCAGGGTGAAGCTGCTTAAGTAAGTAAATATTGGTTGGAACCTTAATTAAAAGTCCATTGTTGCTGGTGCTCGTCCTCCAAGGAAGAGAAATGGGCAATAAGAAAAATCGGCTTGGTGATCTGTATGAAAGCTGTATGAACGTCTGAGTCAAGGAAAATAGTTCTGCTCCTTGTCTGAGTGATGCTAAGCCATTTTGCGTGTCCTTCCTTCCCAGGGAGATATTTAATTACTATCCCTAATGTGTGTTATTTTCCCTTGTTCTGCCAAGATTAATACGGGAGCCCTGCCAGGGTGATTAATGCTCTTTTGGAAGAGAAGGACTGGCCGTGTGCTTTGCTGGGCAACATGGCTGCATCTCCAAAATGCTCATTTTCTTACATTTTGCTTTTCAATGTACGAAAGAGGGAGATCTGAAATTGCACCCCGCAATTTTAGCAAAATAAAGATAGGACATGGACTCATCACTTGGAGACGAGGAAGAAGGCGAAAAATAAATTCCCCCTTGTTTCTGGTATAACTGCAGGCAGGGACACCTGTTTGTCTGTCTACTCTCCAAGTTCTTTTCTGGCAGCAAATCTCAGGTTTAATGAAGGGGCCACAGAGCCTCCCCCGCTCCATATGCCTCCCGCTGCATCAGGGCTACAATCAGGGGTGGGAGATCTTACCGGTTTGGACCGGTTTGGGCGAACTGGATGTTAAATTTGCATCTGGTTTGGTTTGGTATTTGAACCAAACGGCTGGCCCTGCCTACCCCAACCTGCTCCTGCCAGGCGTCTCCACATAGCCCATTTTCAATGCAAGTAAGGGCAGGGTCTGCATGGAAGCTCTAGGAGGAGGGGAAATGGGCCTTCCGGAAGTGCCAGAAGCCCGGAAACAGGCCTGTTTCCAGCTTCCGGAGGGCCTCCAGAGTCGGGGGGAGACTGTTTTCACCCTTCCAGAGGCTTGAAGGAAGTTGAAAAACAACCCTCCCGGAAGTTCCAGTAGGCCACACCCACCCAGCAACTGGGCAGCAAACCGGTTGCTGGGATTTTTGAATCTTACTCCTGGCTACAATCCCAGGAGGTCTGGAGCTGCCCTCTAAAAGATGCCCAGGTTGGGCCACATCTGCCTCCAGGCCTTGAGTTTGACACGCCTGCTTCACATGCACCTTCCTGCTGGGCAAATACAGACCACAAGACCAGGGAGCTCTTTGGAAGACTAACCTTGGCCTCTCCACTGGCCAGCTGTCCCCATGCCTCAGCGGGAACCCCAAAGAGAAGCCAGCTGGATTACTCAAAAAGCTACAGAAATCTCTCCCCATGAAAGCAGAGCTGGCGTAGCATGTGGCATGAATGCAGCCAACTCAGCCGGCTCGGGGTGTTGTGTGAGGCCAGTAACTGAGGGAGAATCCGAGGAAGGCCTCCTGTTTTTGCTCACTTATCTTCCCTCTGATCTCTCTCCATTGCTTCCTCCTTTCTGGAGAAAAGCACCCGGGGGCTCAAAAGTTGGATGATGGCCAGGGAAAGGAAAAAGGGGCAGGGGAGGTGGGGGGCTGCTGGACTTAGGTGGCACCCTTTATTTTAAAATACTTGCCTGGATTTAGTGGCTTTGCATACATCATTTGACTGCCTTCTTGACATAATTCTGCTCTTTAGGGTGTTTTATGAGACAATTAATGCAAAATGGTTTAGAAAAGCTGCAGAGCAGATAAGGGTGATGAGCAAGGCCTAAAGTGACTTCTGTGGCCTTCTCTGGAGGCTCTTCCCCCCCCCCCCAAAGCCTGGAGAACCGCCATTTGGGGGAAGGACCAGCTTGCTCCAGGCTGCCTGTGAATCACTTTGTTCCCGTTTCAGAGCACTGGCGATGTCAGGAAGACTTCTGAAGCTTTCCTCCTGGCAATAAACTTGATCGAGTCTCCGTCTATTTAACTTCAATTACCATGCGATTTGCATTCATGTTTGAATACATGAATCTTTTTAGAATAGAAATATGTAATTAAGATGAATAAACTATGTAATGGTTTGCATTAAGTAGCAGGCCGCAACCACCACCCCCCAAGCCATATGATGGGCTCCTCGTGTTAAATGACAGCCACTGAGGAAGCGCTGAGGATCTTTTGGCGCAGCAGCAGTGTTTACGGTGGTCACCATGGGGCCAGATTAAAGCCCTTGGGTGGTCCAGGTGCAGATGTTGCAAGGCGGGAAAAGGAAAGCCAAAGGAAAGCAAAACGAGTCCCCAGGACTACCTGGAAACACAGAAGAGGAGGAGCAGGAACAGGGGAAAGCTCAACAGCGTGAAAGATGAAATCAAACAACCACACACTGACAGGCATCACTGAATTGAAACGGAGTAGAATTCAACACCGGCAGTCAGAAGAGCGTTCTGGTTGCTCCTCAGGACACTGCAAAGGAAGGAAGGACAGGGCTGCTTTCATAGGAAGGAGAGAGCAAATTGGGGATCGAATGACCTCAATTAGACTTCGTGGACAACCTGTCAGCATGACGATCATCTGCGTTTATGCTCCATCCACTGAGGTGGAAGAGGAGGAGGTTGATGATTTTGACGGTCAGGTTCAAGCTGGAACAAGATGCAAGCGAGATAACAGAATAGCAGAGTTGGAAGTCTCTGCCAAGCCAATAATTTCTGCTTTGCTAACAACCCAAACGCCGCCTTCAGACACGGAGATCGCCAGGCTGAGCACCCAGAAATGGGATTGAAAAGCTCAGTTGTAACAGCCAAGAGATGTGGAGAGGGAAGGGGGGAATCGCTGGGGAAGAGATGTTCATAGGTGCAGGTTCCAAGTCAAGCCAAAGACGAGAACGAAGACCCCCTCCCTCCCCCAAAGACCCACAATAGGATCTTGAACCCTCCAGTTTTAGTTCATCGGGAATCTCTTTCAAGTCCTGAACCTCGTAGATACAGGCCAGAGAGGGACAGAGTCCCCTAACTCTGTCTTTAGCCCAGATTTCTATTTTAGCTGGAACTCACTCCTACGTAGGGACTGTGTCAAGGCTCCGACTAATGAATCCCCCCAATTCAGCTCTCTAAGACGAACAGCTTTCTCGACGAACTGTTTTATTGAGCACATCATTTCGGCACTCACGAAAACAAAACCAGCTCTAACTATTTCCCCTGGTTCCAGTACAATGAAAGAATAGATCGTTCCCTCCCTCATTGTCACAAGTCACCTGTCCAATTGGGTGTTCTGGCATCTCCCTGGCAACTCCTTCTAGTCTCTGGCTGACACCTGTGGAGGTGACCTTGGTTCCCACCATGGGACGATCTGTGGTTATTGCCTGGCCTGACATGCCAACCTCTGCCCCTCCCAACTGTGTGGCAATCTGAGGAACGGAAAGATGGCTGCGGCAGGCCTGTCCATTTTGAAGTTGACAGGATGCCTGTTACTTAAAAAGGCGATGGCCTCGTCTTTCCTTGAGCTGACATACTGCTGAAAACAGGCTGCCTATTGGAAAAATGCAGCTTCCCTGGTTCCTGGAAGCCTTGTGTGGCTTCAGTGCTTCGTCGGCTCAAGAGAAAGCTGTCCGCCATTTTTAGTCACTGGCAGCGCACTTGTGTCTTGGGGTTCGACCTCAGCCGGACGTTCTTAATCTGGGACGGACTGTAGAGAACCAGAGAAACTGTGGAACATAATCAAGGAGGTTGTTAAGGATGATTGTGAAACTGCCAAAGACCAAGAAACAGAAGAAAGCAAACTGGGGGGCAGACCAGGGGAGGAAAATTGCCAGGAAGAGAAGCCGAAGCCCAGAATGAGAAATATCTCAGAAAGGAACATAATAGAATCATATATTAAGCAGAGTATGTACTGAGGGATGTGATTTGGAAGAAGATGAGCATGGTTTTAAAACTGGACAAAGGACCATCAATAGCTTGTGCTATGTTAATGATGCTACACTGAAAAGCTGAAGATTGAAAGGACTCACAAGCCCCAATAACGAAAATCAAGGAGCAAAATGAAAAAAGGGACTTAGAGCAGGGGTCTCCAACCGTGGCAACTTTAAGCCTGGCGGACTTCAACTCCCAGAATTCCCCAGCCAGCAAGGGAATTCTGGGAGTTGAAGTCCGCCAGGCTTCAAGTTGCCAAGGTTGGAGACCCGGACTTAGAGGATTAAACAAATAAAACAGGAAGAGCTGCCAGTCTCAGGATCGACAACTTATCAAGGAGAGATGCAATCTAGAATGAAGGAGAAATTTCCTGTCAGTGAGAACCCAATGAAAGGCTTGTTCTCAGAAGTTGTGGGGACTCCATCACTGAAGGTTTGTGAGAAGAGACTGGCCAGGCACTTGTCCAGAATGGTATAGGGTCTCCTGCTTGAGCAAGAGGTTGGACTAGAAGACCTCCAAGCACCCTTCCAACTGTTATTCTGTTATATTCGGAAGTGCTGGTCTGTATCTATCAAGAACAGAATTGTTCCGGCAATAGATTTCTGTCACTATGAAATATAAAGTTGGGCTTTGAAGCAAGACAGAAAAGGCGTTGATGCTTTTAACATGTTGATATGGGAGAAGACCCTTGAGAATTCCAGTTTCTCAGAACTGAATAATCTTTTCTACTCGTCCCAAAGGCCAGCTCTACATTCCAAAATCTACTCGCCCTAAATGAGGGACCACAATAATTTCATTCTTGTAGAGGCCTTCCCTGGATCCAGTGAATTTTGCCAATTACTACCCAGTCACAATTAGTTTGGGGAGGAGGGAAGATGGTTGAGAATGGGCTGTCCTTGCGGCTCTAGACACTTGGGGGAGACATCAGTTATTCTGACTCTGGATTCAGGCAGGGTTTGGGGACACAATCTGCCACGGTTGCCCTGATGGATGAACTTCTGCCGAAGAGCGATGGAATGTTTTTCTCTATTAATTCTGCTTCATTTGGGGGGCTTTTAACCCCCACAGCCATGGTGTCATGCCGGATAATCTTAAAAGAGTTTTGGATTGGGGGCCAGTAATGCTGTGAATGCCACAGAACGCTCTCCAGCCTGCAGTGCGGTTTAACGTCTGCAGAGAGAGTTTTTGTGACTATCATAGGCTGAAAAGATGACAGTTGTATTTCTGTATATTATCCCAACCAAGAGAAGCCATTGGTGCATGTTCTGAATTAGTATCAGGATGTAGAACACTGAAAGTGGATCGTGACAAGGTACCTGGGAGATTCCTGGGTACAGAATTGGGAAGTTTGCTTATACTCAGTGGGCTGTACTTCCCTAGAAAGAATAGAGAGTAGATTGGTGGTGGTCCCAAAGGAGGACCAGGTGATTGTCTACCAGGAACATTTCAAAATCCTAATAGAGCAGAAAGGGACCTTGGAGGTCTTCTAGTCCAACCCATGTTCAAGCAGGGGACCCTATACCATTTCAGACAAGTGGCTGTCCAGTCTCTCCTTAAAAACCTCCATTCATGGACCATCCACAGCTTCTGAAGGCAAGTTCCACTGGTTTAATTATCCTCATTGTTAGGAAGTTTCTCCTTAATTCCAGTTTGCTTCTCTCCTTGATTAGTTTCTATCTGTTGCTTTTTCTCCTGCCTTCAGGGGCTTTGGAGAATAATTTGACCCCTTCTTCTTTGTGGCAGCCCCTCAAAATACTGGAAGACTGCTATCATGTCACCCCTGGTCCTTCTTTACTTTAGACTGGCCATACTTAGTTCCTGGAACAGTGAATTACTCTTAGTTGCCCTTCTCTGCACTTTTTCCAAAGTCTCAACCTCTTTTTTGTCATGTGGTGACCAAAACTGGATGCAGTATTCCTGGGGTGATCTTACTAAGGTTTTATCAAAAGGTACTAATTCTAATTTATTAGCATTAATTTATTTCTTGCTAGCTTCATCTACTACAAGTCACTTTTTTCCATGCTGTTGAAACTACAAATGGCCATTAAATGAACTATTGTAAGTCGAGGATTATCTCTAGTGGTATATTGGAATATTACATGCGCATTTAACCTCACACTTAAATCCATGTACAGATGTATGAAATTCAAACATTCAAGAAAAAGGCTTCAATGCACCATAGAGAGAAACCACAAGCTCTCACGATTTGCACTTGTGGCTTCTCTGTTTTGGCCCAGTTAAGTTTCAGTAAAAGAGTTGTAGGATTTGGTTGGCTTCCTCGTTGCAGTCCATCCTATTTCAAGGACACCTTTCCTCCTGAGTGGGAACCCTTGGCCTCCTCCTCTTGTGTGGGCAGTGGATGCTGGCCTAATGACATTTTCATCCTTTGAAATGATGTGGTGCTCCAAGGGGGTGTTTCTCAACCGTGGGCATTTTAAGTTGTGCGGACTTCAACTCCCAGAATTCCCCAGCCGGCCATGCTGACTGGGGAATTCTGGGAATTGAAGTCCACACGTCTTATAATGCCCATGGCTGAGAAATACTGCTTTGAGGAAGTTAGGTATAGATTTGGTTAAATTTATATAGTTCTCTCCTGTTGTTCTTGTGGAATTCTTTTATTTGTGGATGTGTCATTCTATTTCCATGGAAACTCCCTTCTGTGGGTACTTGCTGTGAAAGTCAGATAATAAATATTCCACAAATATGTAGCATAAGGACTGCAAACAGTGAGATAACGGAGCAGGTGCTGGTGGATCATGCTCAGTGGAAAGACGATGTGCCATTTTCAGAAACCGGCAACTCCTTCTTGGTGGAGGATCGGTTCCCATGATGTAAGACGCCCAAGCAACCAGCCTTCCTTCGCCTTCCTTGGAACTGGGAGCTGCAACTCATGAAAAACGTTGGCCTTTTTTAATCAAATGGGCTAGTCAGAAAAAGTGCTGCCAGGCCCCTTCAGATATGTGATCACCATAGATGGATGCGGTTCCCCTCCTATCCACATTTCCTATCCAAGCACCGCTACCACATAGCTGTGGGACTCAGAAGGCTATGGGCTTAGTCCTATAATGCAGTGGTCCCTAACCTCTTTGGCTGCCTGGAACGGCAGCTGCATGTGGTAGCATGCAGTGGGGGGGGGGGCAGGTTCCACTCTCAACCGCGCACATGCGCAAAGGAAGCTACAGATGCTCCCCGACCACTTGTGTGGCCCTGTTGCCAATGGGCCGTGGATCAGGGCTTGGGGACCTTTGCTATAATGGTGATGTGGTTTCTGTTGTCTTTCAGATAATTGCCTATCAACCCTATGGGAAATCGGTGGACTGGTGGGCCTTCGGCGTCTTGCTCTATGAGATGTTGGCAGGGCAGGTAATCCAGCCTTGTGCTGTGGAGGACGGCGTGTTTGCCTTGGGGGGGAGCATCCCCAGAGCCCCCTTCCCAGAGACAAGAGCGTGGGTGCCTCTGAAGCCACTTCCTCTTCTGCTCCCCGATTACCACAGGCGCCTTTTGAAGGAGAAGATGAAGATGAGCTCTTCCAGTCGATCATGGAGCACAACGTGGCCTATCCCAAATCCATGAGCAAAGAAGCAGTGGCCATCTGCAAGGGGGTAAGTGACGCCTACAGCTCCCCTGGGGTTGGGGAGGAGGGCGCAGGTTTCTCCCCACATTCACAGCATGGGATAGGCAGCAGAAGCTATGATGGGGTGACCCAGGAGGGCCGTGGATTTCCCACCGAGCCCTTCCCTGAATGGAACAAGTTGGGCCTACTGGCTCCCTTGCCTCATTCCTGGACGAGAAGAGTCTGGCTGCTGCAACAGCCATCGGAGCTGCTCCGTTGGGCTGCCGACTGTCTGTCCTCTTCTTCTGCATCCTGTTGCAAACGAAACCGGCACCTCTGGAGGCTGATGGGGCTCTGAAGTACTTTAAGAGGCTCCAGTTGGGTTTAGGGCTGGGATGGGGGCAGTGATGGGATTCAGCCAGTTTGTACCACTTCAGAAGAATTGGTTGCTAACTTTCTGAGCAGTTTGGTGAACTGGTTGTTGGAAGAAATCATGAGGGGCAGAGAACCGGTTGTTAAATTATTTGAATCCCACCACTGGATGGGGGCCCTGTGGAATTTCCTTGGCTCAGCTTGGAGGCTATAAAAAACACAGCTCAAGGCTAATCTTACGGTGGAAATTCCATTGTTGAATGAAATATGTCCCTCTCCATCCTTTGGACTGTGCAGGTCAATTAGCATTTTCCAGAAAATGTCTCACCTAATAGTGGCCAAACTGGTCAGGAGACGGGCAGGATGGAGGCTGGAAGAGAATAGCTAAAGCTGAGACCAATTTTTCTCTCTCTCTCTCTTGTGGTCAGTAGTGAGGGGGTCTCGCTAGGTTTGCAACTCCACCCTTTGAGTAATTGACAGTGTAAAGGCTAAGTAATCCTGAAATAACCTCAAGTAATTGAAATCCAACACAGTGTGATTGACTTGGGTCTTCTTTCAAATCCAGCCACTTTTCTCCCTTCTGCCCTCCATACAGTCACCTTCTCTTGCTAGAAGATCAGAGGAAGTCCCACCATTGGGCTTCCTGACCATTAGGCATCCCTTCCAGCACTCCCCCACACCTCCATCCCCACAGGTCAATCTGTACAGCCCCAGAAACATCGGGGAGGAGCCCCTTTGAAAAACCGACGTGTCCCTTGAGTGGTGTAAAGCCCTTGAACTTTGCAGATGAAGAGCAGGTCACTTGGGGCCCTTTTGAAGCGCCATGGCACCCAGGCTGGGTCGTGGGCCAGCTGGAGTGGTGGGGAGAAGCTGTTCTGCAGGGGCTGGATTTGTGGGAGGCCTGTGAGGCCCCTTGTGGGGACGTTGGGCAGTTGACCTTCTCAGAAAGTGAAGTTCTCCCTCGCAGGTGCATTCAAGTCATTGCTCCAATAAAGGGGAATATTTGTTGCTCAGGGTCAGGAAATTGGGGGGTGGATCCTTGGTGCTCTCTGAGCTTGGTGGTTTTCTTGCAGATGTTTCATTATCCAACCAGGTAATATTATCAGTGCTAGTGCTAGTTGTTGCTTCTTCCATCAGTCATTCATTCATTCATTCAATCACCCACTCACCCACTCACTCACTTATTCATTCATTCTCAGTCCAATTACTCTAGCCTCCTTTCCTAAAAGCAACACAGGGACCCCCCACAGTGGTTGGCTCTTGCTCCAGATGGCCCCCTTTCTCAATCCCCCCACTCATCACCGCTCCTCAGCATTTTGGCCCTGGGCAAACCTACTTAACCAAGCAGAGCCCATCACTCCCTGGGCCCACCTGGCTGCAGTAAGCGGAGCTCCTCTGGGGAGGTCTATGCAGGGGGGCCTTGGAGGAGCCCCTCGGAGCCCCTCGGCTGATGGGTGGTCCTGCTCTGCTCAGATGACGCCTACAGAGGGTTCTGCCCTGCAGCCATCCTTCTCTTTCCCGGACCGCAGGGCACAGAGCTCTGCCCTTCAGTCCCCCTCCAACAGAAGCCTGTCTGGGTTTTCTTTGAATTCGGTGCCTTGAGGTTCCCCGTGGGAATTTTGCTGCCAAATCACCTCGGACCCTGGGGGACCTTCCCAGACCGTGCAGAACCTGCAGCAATTGATAGGTAGATGAAGGTGCGTGTTTCGCTTTTCATGGGAGGAAGCAAATATTCTGGCCAAAGCTCCATTGGAGTCATAAAGTGGGAAGAGATCTCAATCTAGCCCAACCTCTTCTTCAAGGAAGGATCCAGCTGAAGTATTTCAGATCGAAGGCGATCCGGCTCTGTTTGAAGACTTCCACCGAGGGGGATCATAGCACCGCAGCAGGAGGCCATCTGGCCCACCGCTCGATGACCCAAGAATTCCTCCTAATAGCTAACCTGCATCTCCTTCCACTGACTCTGGCCCTGCCCTCCTCCATGGGACAACCAGGCATGGGCTTCCAAAATTTTTAGCAAAGGGTTCTCTGCCCGGTTGCTGGGTGGGCGTGGCCATGGTGGGTGTGGCCTAGTCGGCCTCCTGCACCACGGCAGGGAGAGGCCCTCATAGCTCCGGAGGCTTCCCTTGAGCCTCCAAGAGGGCGAAAACGGCCTCCCTGGGCTCTGGAGGCTCTCTGGAAGCCAGAAACGAGCCCATTTCTGGACTTCCCAAACTTCTGGAAGATCCATTTTTGCCCTCCCTGAGCCTCAGCGTGCCCCCTGCCCTTCCCTGCATCCAAAACGGGCTGCGTGGGGACTCCGGGGAGGGGAGGGGAGGGGTGGGCGGGGCCATCTAGGAGTGGGATTCGGAGGTTCTCTGAACTGTGCAGAATCTTAGCTAGGGGCTCTCCCGAACCCCTGCGAACCCCCAGCAGCCCAGCCCGGGGGACAACCCTTTAGACCAGGGCTCCCCTACCCCCAGGCCACGTCCCACTACCAGGCCACGACCTGTTCAGAACCACGCCATGCAAGGGGGGGGGGGCGAGTGCACTTGCACCAGCAGCAGGCGCATGAGCTCGTGCATGAAGCCTCATTTTTGCGAGTGACGGACCCCCGTTCCTGCCCCTTGCACAAATGGAATTGAGGGTGGTCATGGGCACTCCTGCAACTCACACAAAACCATCCCCCCCCCCCGCTGCTAGTCTGCCAAACTGGATAGGGTGGGGACCGCTGCTTTAGACCTCGAAGATGGGCATCCTCTCCTTCCCATTTTCTCTCTGTGGCACAGGCTGTAGGTCTCCACGTCCTTCAAGGAATGAGCTCTGGTGGCGCAGTGGTTGGAACGCAGTATTGCAAGGCAAACTCTGCCCACTGCCTGGAGTTCGATCCCGACGGGCTCAAGGTTGACTCAGCCCTCCACCCTGCCGAGGTTGGTAAAATGAGGAGCCAGGCGGCTGGAGGCAAAGAGGCTGACTCTGTAAACTGCTTAGAGCTCTTGCTAGTGCTATCGCTGTCTTGCCCAGCCCTCCTCTGAACCCAGCTCACTTGGCTCTGGGGCCTTTTGGGGCTCTGTCCTGGAACTCGGCCCAGGCAAAATGGAGGGAAGCAACTGCTGTTCTTCAGCCCCCCCCCCTCCCCCAGCCTGGCATTTGCCACTCGGGGTGCATCCCTCGGACAGAAGGAGCTGGCCTTCCAGGAGGGGGAGCCCCCTCCATTCCCTCTCTGCTTTGGGCAAGGTCTCAGCCCCGCCCGCCCCCCACTTCTACTTGGAGGGCCAGAAAGACCCTGCGGTCAGCGAGTCCTGGGGGTCGGGGGTGGGAGCCAAGGCAGAGCCGGCCCCTCTGCCAGGCTGCGGCTGAAACCATCCCAGGAAGCTGCGCCCGGCACTCCTGGGGGAGCGATTTAGAGATAACCGTGATGAACTTCCTATCAGTTTTATTTCCTCTCCCTGCAAATTGGCAAGAGATAAGACTGATTAAAACATCTGCTGGATTTTCAGTAATGGCTTTTCACACTTCTGGCAAATGCCAAGGCTGAATGGAAAGCAACCGAAGCGGGCAAGGGCTGTGGACACCCTCCTTTTCCTGTCGCACTGCTGCCTTTATTTTGGGCTGGAGGAAGATATGACACACACTTACATAATGCTATATTTGCGTTCACAGTGTGAACTTGAGTATAACCCCCCCCCCCCCAAAAAAAAAAACCCTGGTGATGCCACACCGTCTCCTTTCTCATGGCAGCAGCCCTGGCTACAGTATTCAGAGCAACATCTGCAGCAGGTGTTCTCCAGTGAACAAGGGGTGGGGGGGAATTTCTTCCTATAATGCGCCTTCTTGGTACCAGGGGTTGCATGCCTCCCCCAGGCCTGAGGTGACACCACCACGTCCCCCTCAGCCCCAGGGGGAAAAAAGGAGGCTGGCCTCTGGGGAGAGCAACCGGGTTTATCTTTCAGCTGCTTCTTGGAGAGAGATGTGGTTGGCCCCAAAGCATCCAAGTTGGTTTGCCCAATGCAATCAACTTTGGCTGCAAGAGAGGACTGGAGCAATTCCCCAGGAGAAGGAGGTGACCTCCAGCTGCTGAACACGGAACCAGAGCAGGAAAGAAAAAAGAGGACTTGGGTGCACATCCTGAGGTCCAGCTGGTTCTCGACCCCTCCAGACGGAGGGCTCGAAAAGCTGAAATGCTTGGCTGCTGCTCAGCTACTTCTGAGCAAAGGAAACCCCTGACCCCGATCAACCGCGGAAGCTTCTGAGATCTTCCTAGGGCCTCCTGAGCTACCAGGACCAAGGGAATCTCCACAGCTGCTGGAAGATGCCGAGAAGATTGGGGCTGGCGAATCCTGATCAGGCACTTCGGATCCTGTGGTTCTTGACACCTTTTGCACTGCAGGTTTGGCAGGACACAATATTAAGTGAGCACCAAGTCTCTCCTAACTCTAAACCCTCCTAAGTCTTTCTCCCCAGAAACTGCGTTGCTCAGGATCTGGAGTTCTTACTGAAGTCACCGGAGGGCTTGCCATGTTGCTCCAACGGTGAGTTCCTTTTCCACAGATGCGACTGTATATTAGCTCGAGTAGCAAGCTTTGTGGAAGTGGTCCCAACCTTCCCTTTTTGTTAGCACATGGAGCTAGCTGTGAAAGAGGTGTGCACTGTATTTTCATAGAAGGAGAGAGAGAGAGAGAACAACAGCTTTGTAGA